TGGGGGGGGGGGGGGAGTTCCATGTTCGATTGAACCATATTACCCGTAAAACATACAGCGGGATGTAAGCTGACCGACACGGCAGGCATTCTCCGGATGAACTCTCATCCTTTTACTTTTCCGTTGGGTTCCAAGAAACCTTCTATTTTAAGGATTCTAATTCGACCGAGACACTCAACCTTTTCACTATTTTTAACCGAAAATCCGACGATTTCAAAGTTCTCAAATCTGTTTTGTCATTATTTTTGTTCTGATAACTGAGTATCCACCTCCATGGCTATATTATTTTTTACCTACTCAACTTACTAGTAACTCTGTTGTTAAGAAATGCTAAATTTTGTTTTGCCTATTTTGTTCAGGTTTGGTTTCAAAATCGTCGGGCGAAATGGCGTAAAACAGAAAAGACTTGGGGGAAAAGTAGCATTATGGCTGAATACGGATTATACGGCGCGATGGTTCGACACTCTTTACCGCTGCCTAAGACCATTCTGAAGTCAGCCATCGAAAATAATGATGAATCTTGTGCTCCATGGCTACTCGGTAAGTTACAGTGCTTTCCCCAACACCTGATCCGTTTCAACAGGTGATTCATATTAGAAACATCAAATGAGGCATTTGTTTGTGACGTACGTGGGTGTGCTAAATGATTTTTCTCATGATTTTAAAGCATTTCTGTGTCAGACATTTTTTCAAGAAATTTCTGTGGGGTGAAACTAAACTTTACCGCAATAAGTGAAAATAAGCTAATTCATCGCAACCGAAAGCAGTGGACTGTCTGCGGGTTGAACCTAGTGTGCAAAGTGTATGCCTGACGATCATTTGCTATATTTTTCATGAATGTACAAACACCGTTTCGTATTTCGATTTAGAAAAGTTCAGTTGCCTCGGTGGGATTCGAACCAACGCATGGACGCCGCCTTACGCTTTGTACGCGCACGCTCTACTAGCTGAACGACGAGGCCACACCGACGGCACTTATCTTTTCACATTCGAATTTACCCATCCAACTTGCAGATCCATATGACATCCACCAGTTGAACAATTAACCTCATTTGGTGGACTCCGGTGCAATCTAAAGAAAACCTGTCCAAGCAATGAGCTTACATGCTCACTGGTGATCTCGTATGCCTCTGTAAGTTGGATGGGTAAATTTGAATGTAAAAAGATCAGTGCTGTCGGTGTGGCCTCGTAGCTCAGCTGGTAGAGCGTGCGCTGTACAGAGCGTAGGCGACGTCCATGGGTGGGTTTGAATCCCTCCGAGGCCACTGAACGTTTCACAATCTTGACATACAAACTTCAAATCTGCCAAACAAAAATCGGAACAAAAACTGTTTCATGAAGGAAATTGAGGTAAAACACAAGGTAGCTAGGTGATACATAAAAATGAAGAATATTGGGTAGTATTGGTGAAGGAAGGGTTGATAAGACATAGAACCTCCGGGATGATCAATTTTTAACTCTTACCGCTGAACTCCCTTAGTTGAAACGAGTCCGAGTCTCGTGTCTGACCCCGCCAGCGATCGAATTGCGAACTTCCAGGTTGGGAACGGGAACAAATATCATCAACTGGGTTCTCCTAAACATAACATTCTACAGCCACCGCTGCGTACAAAGTTCGTATCCGTGTGGGCAATCAAATTACAACTCGTGGGATCGCAGTTCGACATGCGCCTTTAGGCTACACAGCCGACAATCGCTAACTTGAACGAATTCCTGTATGAACTACAAAGTTGGTTTTTGATCCGCCTTGAAGAGTTCTTGTACAATTAAATCAGTTTATTAACTTTTGCTTCGTATTTTGAGATGGTGTGGCACCTCAAAGATTCATTTATTGCCCAGAATGTCAATTCTTTTATCGTAATGATGAATTGAATTTTCCAGCAGATGGAAATCGTTGCCAAATGATTGAGACGGAAATGTCATTATTGCATTTGAAACAAGCATATAATATGTCGCGTAAGTAATAACTGATAGAAGGATGATCACCTGCGCTGACAGGCTATTTCGTCCCGGGGATATCCTCCATCTCTTTGCTGTCCATCACTTAGTCAACTCTCATTTAAGACGTCAATAAGCTGAAGCATACATTGGCGGCCACACTTCGTGGAATCGTTGAAGTTATCTAAGTTAGGTGGAGGTAACAAACGCCTACAGCCCGTGCAAGACTATGTTGAGTCCGCGAAGACAGCCACGCCAACGTGGACGGAAGTGATTTACTATCTGATCCAACAGCCCTGATGAACACTTGTCAGATCTGCAGGAATGCACGGATCCTTGGTCTGAGTGAACACGAATCGGATGACCAGCGAGCTCCTAGTGAGCCATCAGCGCACCAACTCACTATGGCCTTGCAGTCTGCATTTGGCTGTGTAAAGACTATAGAGGTGCCTTCGCGAGAGAAAAATATCCCAGTGACACTGAGGATATCCCGACACCAATCTCTCAACAAACTGCGTGATCTCTCAAGAAGTCAGCTTATTTCCCCCGCATCCCTGAGCAGCCAGTATAAACTTTTGAGACAAGCTTTTATCAAAGCGGTTTTGATAAAGAAGTGTGCCTTTAATAGCTTGTTTGGACGAGGAAGACGTATTTTTCTTCTTTTAAAATACGTTTATCGTATTTTATTTCATTAGAAATCTAGTGTTTGAACAATACGGCGGCTTGTATACAAAACCTAAATTTTCCAAATGATACGATCAAAGAAAATCTTTGAGAAAAATTGATGTAGTTGCTGCACAGTTAGCTAAAGAAATTTGTAGCGAACTTTGAAAGGTATCCGCATGTGTCAGAAATAGATAAGATTTAAAAATTTAGTGAATTAACCGTCAAAGACGCGAATGCAGATCGGTGATTGGTAGTATTATGGAATAAACAGATACCCGTGTTTAGGAAAATTGTATTTTTTTGAAAGTAATAATCTACTGTCAAATACGAATTTTACATTATTTTATCCTGATGTTTGAATTGTGATTATCACTTTTTTAAATTAACATAGTTCCGCTCGGTCAAATAAACGAAACAATATGTTTGAATCAATTAGGGTAGTGGTAGTAGTGTTAACCGCAGAAGTTTATAAATTAAAAGTCGACCGAAGTCACATTTTCTACCAGACCAGGTTGATCTTTTTGGCTTGTCTACTTATCCCTTGTCTTGAATTATATCGAATAGTACTCCACGGAATGTCGACCGAGAACAAAATTTATTCACAACAGACGTAAATCACACTTCCATAATCGTATTCAGTAGCACTCCCCTAACCTGGTGCATACGTTCCTATTCACCATAGGGTGCGTTCTAATCCGACTTAGCGCACACTTCTGTTATCACCATGTTTTTTTCTTATTCTGCTGATACGAAGCGTGATCAAATAGCGTGTCTATATAATTAACCGCAACATAATGGGCAATTATTTCATCAATGCCCACCGCCATCCGTAACTAGGGTGTGTTCGTGCTCGCGAATCCGCGCTCCTGACCGTTGCCACAGCAAAATTCGAGATGCCCACCCTCACCCCGTCCATGCGCTCCCCGTTTCGGATGTGTATGATCAACCCAGTTATGGGTCTTATGGAAAANATGATGACGCCGTCATGAGTGGGTGGGTGGGTGGGGGGGGGCAGGGGGACGCAGGCCGGATATGAATCTGCAAGTAGGTGGACAAGAGATAGGGCACTGATTTGCCATTCGCCCAGATCTCTCGCCCACCTATATAGCCCTCTTGTTTTAAACACCACATCCCTTGACCAGACGTTCGTGTTCGCTTCCACTTGACATGGAAACAACCTGACCACATCGAACTGACGGGATTCGTTCGGGCAATAGCGCACATATGGGCAAGAAAGTCGATAAAGTTAGCTTATATTTGCATTCGGATTCAGATGCTCATACTGATGAAGATGGTGATAATTATCGCGATTCAAGTTATTCCTCACAAAACATCCGTAAGCCATATGAACACACATGGGGAAATGACCTCATCAAGTGGAAGGGCAGTTTGAAAGCCGGATATTTCTCGAAGTTAGCCGGTGCACGCTGGTCTGTGCACTATTCAAGGACATCTCTCCCCACCCTTTGGTCTTGCCACACAAAATGTATACGCGAGACCCTGACTGAATCGAGACACTGTAGGTGCTTAATTTGCCCCATCGTTTGCACGCGCCGTAGCATACAAGGCGAATGCTCGCTGAGTCTTCATTCGTGCGTTATCCCATTATCTGTGTCCGACGATCACTCTTCTCTCTCTCCTCCCTGACCTCCCTCCGTCCAACTGCCGCCTATTCGTTAGAGGGATCTAGGGTGGGGTTGGGTGAGGGATAGAATCTAAGTGGCGAACCGTTTGAATTAAGTGATTGCAAACAGGCGACTGGAATGATTGTGTATGTGTCCGCGCGCGCGCGCGCGCGCTCACCCGCTCGCCTGTAATTACGACTTAGTGACCAGTGCAAACGCAGCAGGGAAACCTTCTTACCTAGGGTGTGGGAATCACCTAACTAGAGCGAAGCAGAACTTGGGCTGATGGAAACCGGTTGCATATGAAATAAGCTATTGGTTTTAATTTGGACTTCCTGATTACATTTGGGTTTAGTTGGTAATCACGGATACACAAAACAGGCCCAAACTCGCTTGAGATATTTGACCCAATCCAAATATTTCACTATGATTACGGATTACTATTATCCCGTTAATTGGACCGGGACCCACCGAAAAACCTTAAAAAGATTGCACAACTTTTCTATCTCTGTCAATCCAGTAGTACATGTCCACCGAATCTATGGCGGCTCAATCCCGGACGTGCAGCATAGTACAAGTCAGTTATCACCACTACATTTGGGTGTCAATTGTGGTTTCAGGGCTTGGTTTCACGTCAGTTAGACAACATTCATCAACTTTTGAGCACCGCGAGCACACTGTCTTCAATTCCGTTGGGGATGGACCTCAAAAGTGGTGTGAATAATACGGAACTGTCAAACATGCTACTTGCATAATTTGAGTAGGATGAATTTGGATGATTATACAGCTATTTTTCATTCGGGATTCGTTGACGATCATATTTACCCACAAACATTCCAGTGCAGAATTAGATACTGAATAGTTTAGACCATGTATGGGAATTTCTAAAACCAAAGATAATTCGAAAGTTATTTTTATTAAATAGTGATTGTACACCATTGCATGATTCACAGTGACCGAGGGAAACCCGTAACGACGAGGATCTACCGTTGAGTTATCGGAACAGCCAACTTAAACCTTGATGGTCCAGAGTGATTAGGAACCATATAAGGCTCAGCTGTGCTCGTTATATCATTATTCAGCAGCACGACAGCATACAAATCATCGCATGCATGCGGAGTTCTCTTGCTAATTCAAGGGCCTTCAAGAACTCACTGGCATTGGAGCTTTCTGTGATCGACCACAATGTTTTCTTCCAAACATGGATGCATCTCACGAAGATATACAACGTTATGATCATTGACGAAGACGGTTTAACATAAAACGGAAAGCGTTTTATTTACTGATTTATCCTTCAGTAGTTAAGTTGATGAAAGCGTTAGTTCTATAATAACCCTAAAATAGACTTCCGTCGATAA